CTAACCGGTTGGTGGGAGTGTTCCAAAGTAATCACTTTCTTAAAAGTTTGGATAAATTATACCAATAGTTTCTGTGAGATTTGTTATTAATTGAACTTTAATCTCTAAAGTTTTAATTCTATCGATTTAGTCCTCAAAATTCACGTATTGGCTTAAGGCTTAAGAATCAGATAATGAAATGTGAAAAGTTATTGAGTAATAAATGTAATTTAAAAATGGTGCGTAAAAGAGCTGAGAATAAAATTGCGGCCTTAATTACAACCAAGATCACCACCAAGCTGTGTGAACAAGTGATGCTTAGTGCCCCGTTATTGGTCTTGTTTAAGTTGTGTAGGGTTATATCCCTTGTTTGATTTACGAGGCGTAGGCCGCGGAGTTACTTTCAGCGACTTGGCGGGATTGTGATTCGGCTACGGCTTAAATTATCGTTACGAATGATTTTTGAGTTATCCGAGTCTAATCTTTTTTAGAGGATTTTCCACAAAGAATAAGGGCTACTTTGGTCACATCTTAATAGGGATCACATCTTAGCAAACAATGTCATATTTTTAAGTTCCAATAACATTATTTATTGCAAAAGTCAAGACTGAAAAATAGAGATTAAAAATTGGGTGAAAGGGCTTCTTTTAGAGAAGTTCTTAGAATCTCTCCTAAAGTCATTCCAATAAATAACTTATGCAACAAATTAATTAATGATATTAGAATATTTTATTAAATAATAACTACAATCAGATAAAATCACATAAGATATTTAAAATTTTTAAAAATAGAAAAAAATTTAAAAAAGAGGGATGGGTTTTGGAGTTCAAAGAAATAGGTAGCACATTGCTATCTATTGTGATGTGATAGATTTATGGGCCCCACCTTATGGCTAGTGACACACATGATTCGTACATTATTTGTTTATTACTTTAATCATTTCTTTTAGCTGCCACTTCTGCTTTCTTACTCACGAGCTATAATAATTAAAAATTTTTGTGCCAATTGCGTTTATCGTTATAAAAAATCGTATATTGAAGCAAAAAAATTTCATGGCAATAGTGCTATTATAAAAAATATAATTATTTAAGATGACTTGTGGCCATCAAAAACTTTTTAAAACTCCCCCACTGGTGACATCTCAAACTCTTGGGGGTTGTTTGGTAGGGTAATACGGGGGAGTTTGAAAAAATGAATTTAGAGAAAATTGTTTAAAGGTTTCTTAAATCTCATGTTTTGATTGAAAATTCAATCTTAAGTTCTCAAACTCTGCCTGTAGCTGACGCGAATATTAAATCCATAATTATAAGTTTCGTTAAACCTAGGAAGGGGGTGAGTTTGAAAAGATAGGTTAAAGATGTAAAAGACAATTGTACTCCTTAATATAGGTATGAATTGAATTAATTAAGGATAAAATAGTCATTTATAAGACAAATAATTATTAATAATTATGATATATCATTAGATTTTACATATATATGTGTTACATATTAAATATGAGTATAAATAAAATTCAATGTCGAATCTCATCTTTATAAAAAATAATTTAAATTTAAAAAACCAATTCCAACTCTTCACAAAAATTCATTCAAACAAAACCTTGTCAGGTTGGGTTGAAGGCGCCAGCGGGGTCCACCAACAATTGGTCTTCATTGTGGAATTCTTTTAACATTTTGTGCTCTGCTCTAGAGGTGATCCTCTTCTTCTTCGGATCGAGATAGTGGACCCATGGTGGGGCGCAGCTCCTCTGAAGCTGAAGAAAAACAGCACACCGTGCTGTTTTGTGAAATGTGGCCTACTGTAAAGATATTTTCGACACAAGTATTCAAATGATTCCCAAAATACGAAGTCTGTGCTTGCACTCTTCCACCAAAATCACTATAACTGGGCATGTTAAAGGGTTTATACTTCCCTATTGCAAAACATTCTTTTAAATACTGGATTTTTTAATCTGATCACAAAATAATATGTGAAAAATTTATAAATAAAAAATCTTTTTAAGATGTGATACTGAATTTTTTTTTTAATATTACTTTCAATTTTTTTTTTTTTTATTTTTAATATGATACTGAAAAAAATTGCATGTCGAGTTGTGTTTGAATTGTTTATTTTAGATTTGTGTTGAATAGTAGTCAACCTTTAAATTATTTTATTAATTATGCAGTATGTGTGGTCCATTTTCGTTCTTATCCTTGTGGGTAGGGATGACAGTGGACCGGAAAAAAACGGGTATTCGTTCAAACCCGTCCCATTTTGGATCGGGAATACCTGTATAAACTTGTACGGGAATGANCCTAGGAAGGGGGTGAGTTTGAAAAGATAGGTTAAAGATGTAAAAGACAATTGTACTCCTTAATATAGGTATGAATTGAATTAATTAAGGATAAAATAGTCATTTATAAGACAAATAATTATTAATAATTATGATATATCATTAGATTTTACATATATATGTGTTACATATTAAATATGAGTATAAATAAAATTCAATGTCGAATCTCATCTTTATAAAAAATAATTTAAATTTAAAAAACCAATTCCAACTCTTCACAAAAATTCATTCAAACAAAACCTTGTCAGGTTGGGTTGAAGGCGCCAGCGGGGTCCACCAACAATTGGTCTTCATTGTGGAATTCTTTTAACATTTTGTGCTCTGCTCTAGAGGTGATCCTCTTCTTCTTCGGATCGAGATAGTGGACCCATGGTGGGGCGCAGCTCCTCTGAAGCTGAAGAAAAACAGCACACCGTGCTGTTTTGTGAAATGTGGCCTACTGTAAAGATATTTTCGACACAAGTATTCAAATGATTCCCAAAATACGAAGTCTGTGCTTGCACTCTTCCACCAAAATCACTATAACTGGGCATGTTAAAGGGTTTATACTTCCCTATTGCAAAACATTCTTTTAAATACTGGATTTTTTAATCTGATCACAAAATAATATGTGAAAAATTTATAAATAAAAAATCTTTTTAAGATGTGATACTGAATTTTTTTTTTAATATTACTTTCAATTTTTTTTTTTTTTATTTTTAATATGATACTGAAAAAAATTGCATGTCGAGTTGTGTTTGAATTGTTTATTTTAGATTTGTGTTGAATAGTAGTCAACCTTTAAATTATTTTATTAATTATGCAGTATGTGTGGTCCATTTTCGTTCTTATCCTTGTGGGTAGGGATGACAGTGGACCGGAAAAAAACGGGTATTCGTTCAAACCCGTCCCATTTTGGATCGGGAATACCTGTATAAACTTGTACGGGAATGAAGGCAGGGATGAACTTACCCTTATCCCCGTCGTGCCCCCGATATATATATATATATACTCTCAAGCCCCTAACTAAACATATTTACTGTAACTACCGATCTAGAAATATGGTAATCAAACTAACAAATGACATTGCTATGTGGTAATCTTATCAATTTTTTTTCCTGATTGTTCTTTTTTCTATTTGTGCTCACTAATTAAAACTGTTAAAAGTTTGGATTGACTATGCTCTAAAAACAGATAAGAGAGAGTAAAATAGTTTTGCATTTCATCGTGTGTAGAAATATTGTGAATGAAGGTTGATGAGTTTCTCTGTTAGAGTGAACTAAGAAATGAGGAGAATTATTGAATTAGTAAAATTTTAAGTTTTCATCTTTTAACACTTTATGACTGTAAGATGAATTGTAATAACAAAAATTTTTCTAGGAAACTTCAAGTGTAGCGTTATCATTTTTTTAATTCAATTTTATTTTTCTTTTCTTTCTTTCTCTCTAATAGTTCCGTTTATCTTTTTATGGTCCAATGACACTTTAAATTGAATACTATATTGTTTTGACTTTTACATTTTGCTATCTATATTATGTTGTGTTAGATTATTTAGAATATTGTTGAATTATTTAAAATATTAGATTTATTTAAAATTTTGGATTATTTAGATTTGGGTTTGAACTTGGGCTTAGGCTTAGGCTTAGGAGGGTATAGAAGATGAGATGACGGGGATTAAAAATTTACCCGCGGACGAATATAAGAATAAAAAATATACCCCGTTAATGAGAATGAATCGAAAATAAATGAAATTTTTTTAAACATGCATAAAAATAAAGCCTAAACTTTTCGCTCCGCTACGGTCCAGTGACATTCTTAATTATGGGAAAAAAATTCACACCATAGGCCACATCTAACAAAGCACCAACGTTTTGTTTAACAGCGCACTGTACTGCTTTTCGTCAACAGCAGAGGAGATCCCGCCCCCCCTTCCCATGCTGCCCTCCTCCATTATTGTTTCTTTAACATTTTCAGGGGTCGGTTGTTAAACATCTTGTCAAACATTAAAATTTAATAATGATTCAGTTCTAATAAAAACATATCCTTTCTATGCAGTCATATACATCACACACATCACATATCAAGAAAACACGTGGTCCTTCTTTTGCCTTTTTTTTTTTTTAAAACTTTTCAATAAAACGTGTGGTCCTTCTTCTCAATGTGGGCCTCACTCTTTTTAATCATCTTCTTCTGTTTCTTAAAAAGCGTATTCGTATTCCAACTAGACGAATACACATCAACTAAATATTATAATTATTTAAAATATGTTTGTTTCATAAAACTGAAACTAAAAGCTTTTTTTTATATATATAATGCTAAAAAATTATTAATTTTTTTTTAATTCACATTGATTTTCTCATTAGTAAAAGCTTTAAGATATTAAAAAAGAGCAATGATACTTAAAATGAATTTATTAATCTAATTAATAATAAGTATTGAAATAGTTGTGGATCTCAGTACTCCCTTCGACCCAATATTAATTTAATAATTATGAATTAAATTAATAAATTAATATTCAATAATTATGAATCAAATCAAGTAATCTTATTGTAAACAAAAAAAAATATCATATCATAGAAATATTCTTTTCTTTCCTCTGGTCAACCAACTACAATTCCTCTGAGATAAGCTTGTTGCAACTGTGAGTCCATAATCCATATCCTCTCTGAACTCCTTCTCTCTCTCTCTCTCTCTCTCTTATTTGACAACAATGGAAGCAGCTCTATTGGATGCCACTACCAACTTAATATTGGAAAAAGTGGTTTCAATTCTAGTGGAAGAGATCAGCCTCGTATGGGGATTCAAAGAAGAAATGGCTAAGCTCAAACAATCATTGACCATGATTCAAGCCGTGTTGAATGATGCCGAGAGACAGCAAGTAGGCAAAAAGTCCGTTGAACTCTGGTTGGAAAATCTTAAAGAAGTAGCCCACGAAGCCGATGATGTCGTAGATGAAGTCCATTACGAAATTCTACGACGTAAGGTGGAGATTCGAAATCAAATGAGGAGAAAGGTATTCTTCTGCTTTACGCTTTCCAACCCAGTGGTCTTCCGTTTCAATATGATTCAGAAGATTAAGAACATTAACAAATCCTTAAAATATATCAACGAGCAAGCGACTGAGTATGGACTCCAAAGAGTTGTTGTAGAAATGGCTCCTGCTCAAGTGAGGGTAAATCGAGAGACTGACTCATTCATTAAAGATACAGAAGTTGTAGGAAGGAAAGATGAGTTGTCAAAATTAGTTGAAATGATAACAAGCCAGAGAAATCAAGAAGATGTCTCTGTTATTCCCATTGTGGGAATGGGTGGTTTAGGCAAGACAACTTTAGCAAAGTCGGTCTATAATGAGGATCAAATAAAGAGACAGTTCGATGTGAGAATTTGGGTATGTGTATCTGTTGATTTCGATGTCAAAAGTACTCTGGCAAAGATCTTGGAATCTCATACAGAAAGGAAGTGTGAGGCAGAGACTAGGAATGCAATTCTTGAAAGTCTTCAAAAAGAGTTGGGAGAGAAAAAATATTTTCTTGTACTAGATGATGTGTGGAACGATGATCATACCCTGGGAAGATTTTAAGAGTTGTCTGGAAAGGGTTAATTCAGTCAAGGGGAACAAAATTCTAGTCACTACTCGTAGCATTCGAGTGGCATCAATTGTGAAGACAATCCATGAGTCGTTTCATTTGGAAAAATTATCAGAAGAATATTGTTGGTCCATATTCCAAGAAAAAACATTTACAAATGGAGGACCTATAAGGACATCAGAATTGGAGGCCATAGGAAGAGAGATTACAAAAAAATGTGATGGTGTGCCATTAGCAGCGAAGGTAACTGGAAGTCTGATGAAGTCCAAGAAGGAAAAACATGAGTGGTTGTCAATTTTAAATGACGGAGTATGGGGTTTAGTTGGAGGTGAAAATGGGGTCCAACCAATACTTAAGTTAAGTTTTGATCATTTACCGTCCCCATCTTTAAAACAATGCTTTGCATATTGTTCAATTTTTATCAAGGATTGCCGCATGGAAAAGGACCAACTTATCCAGCAATGGATGGCACATGGATTTCTTCAACCACAGGAAGGTAGTAAGTCTATGGAGGATATCGGCAATGATAATTTTCACATTTTGTTGGAGAATTCCTTATTTCAAGATTTGGAAAGGGATGATTATGAAATCATTAGATATTGTAAGATGCATGATTTGGTCCACGACCTTGCACAATCTATTTCGAAATCTGAGTGTTTTGCTCTAGAGGCTGGTATGAAAAAAGAGATTCCACTTGTTCAACATTTAGCATTATACGGTAATGGAGACAGAATTGGTACAATTCAACAAGAAAGTGCTAAAAGGTTGCGTACATTATTCTTGGGGAGTGTTGTGCTTGAAAACAAGTTTTCGAACTTTAGATGTTTGCGAGTCATGAACTTTTGTGGGGCTAATATTAGAGAATTACCAAACTCAATAAGCATGTTGGTACATTTAAGATATCTTGACTTGTCAAACACTAAAATTAGAATTTTTCCGGAATCTGTTGCCAAGCTCTACAATTTGCAAACACTAAGAGCACTCTTGTCGCCCATTGTGGAGCTCCCAAAAGAATTGAGGAATCTGATTAACTTAAGACATTTGTATTTTTATGACTATCCAGGCCTCCAGATGCCACTTGGGATGGGGAAGTTAACTTGTTTGCAAACTTTACCAGTTTTTAATGTGGGTCAAGATGAGGGCCGTCTAATTGAAGAGCTCGGATCTTTAGAAAACCTTCAGGGCAAGCTAGAGCTAAGCAATCTCCAACATGTGAGTAGTAGAGAGGAAGCTCAAAAAGCACAGTTATCAAGAAAGGAAAACATATTTGAACTGAGATTTGAATGGAATCTGCAAAGGAAAGAGAAGAACAGTGATGAGGGTGTCTTGGAAGGCCTCCAACCTTCTCCATACTTAAAAGGCTTAAAGATCTACTCATATGCCGGTAATAACTTTCCATCATGGATGATGAGGATGGCGGTAAGTATTGATGGTGACGGTGCCTTGTTACCACTCAACAATTTGGTGAATCTTGACTTAACCAATTGCGAAAGATGTGAACAAATCCCAATGCTCGGCCAACTACCGCTTCTTCGGTCTCTAGGGTTGGATGGAATGGACAATATCAAATGCATAGATGAGTCCTTTTATGGTCGTGATTGCAATCTGTTAGGTACCAGTCATAGTGGGGAAGAAGCAGAGGCATTGTTTCCTTCTTTGAGAAAATTCGAATTGCGGAATATGCCCAACCTACAAGACTGGATGGAGGCAGTAGACGCAAGCACAGTGCCGGTGTTTCCTTGCTTGAATTTCTTGAGAATTATTGGTTGTCCTAAGTTGAAAAGTGCTCCAAGTCATTTTCCATGTCTTAAGGTATTGAGATATTTTGGTGTTAATAGTGGTAGAGCCTTAGAAAGGATATGCAGCAAATTAACTACTCTTACGGAGCTCAACATTAGAAGCGTATCAGAGCTTTCTTCTTTGCCAGATGGGTTGTTGGAGAATAATAAAAGTCTATTGTATTTTGAGATACAAAGCTGCCCCATGTTGACACATGTTCTGCACGTGTGGAATTGGGGTTCCTTTCTCCTTCGATCACTGACAATTAATGGTGCCGAGAAACTAAGCAATTTTCCAGATGGTCTCCAAATGCTTGTGAATCTTAAGAGGTTACGGATTGTAAATTGCCCAGTTCTCAAGTCAATTCCAAGCATCAACAGTCTCACAGCCCTCGAAACGTTGCAGGTTGAATCATGTGAGAAATTAACTTGTTTGCCTAGTGGAATACACTGCCTTACCCGCTTAGTCAACTTAAGGGTTGGTCCTTTCTCGGAGGATCTCAATTCTTTCCCTAGTCTTGAAGGTGTCCAGCACTTGCAGGCATCCCTTCGTCAGGTAAGCTTGTATGGGTGGCCTCATTGGAACTTCATTCCAGAGCAGCTTCAACACTTCACTGTCTTGAAGAGTATAAAACTATCTGGATTTGGAGTGGAAGCTTTACCCGATTGGTTTGAGAACTTTTCATCTCTTGAATCTCTATCTCTAGACTGGTGTGAATCAATAAAGTATCTGCCCCCTTTTGAAGCCATGCAGCGCCTCACTAAGCTGCAGAGATTGTTCATTAGCAACTGTCCCCTCCTAGAGGAAAGATGTGCCAAGGGGATTGGCCCCGAATGGTCCAAGATTTCACATATTCCAAATATTCGTATAGGCACAGAATGGCAATGTAAGTTTCTCCTTAGAAACCGGCTCTTTGTCTTTGCCCATCTTTATATTTAGGAAAAATTACTAATAAGTATTAACTTTCCTCCCAAACATCCATTAAGACCTATTATTTTTATTTTATATGAATGAAGTCCTAGCCTTGGTAATTTATTTGAATAAAGTCCTAAGTTTCATAAATACAATATTTTGTTTCAATTCTGTCATTCTCTTAACAAATATTGACACCTATGGTATTGAGGATATAACATTAGTTTTCTTTTTTATTCATACATGCTCCGATTTCTTGTGTTTTAAATTATATATTGCTTATTTGCTAGTTTTATGAAAAAAATAATTACTAATAATTTTTAGAATTGTCATTATGGGATACAACATAAGACTTTGTACCCTATATATTCTCGATGGAGAAGAGTTTCACAACGAGATCTCTAGTGTATTGGGGTTTTAGAATCGCGACTGAATTGAATATCATTACCTAAACAAAAATTGAGCATACATGTGTTTGTAACAATATAATATTCAATAAAAACTCAATATTATTAGTAAAAAAAAAAAAAAGCAAATTAACCCATTAGAAAAGGGATTACAATTGACCACTCTAAAAAAACATAAAATTGAGTTAAATAACATTTGTTGCACAATAATGTTGTATTTCTCTGCTCTAGCAATTTTTCAACGAGCGAAAAATGATAGTAAAGAGGCAAAAAATAAAAATAAAAAAGCATAATCTTCAAAAAAAAAAAAAAAAAAAAAGCACGTCTCTATTGTTGAGCAAGAGAACAAATAAAAATTGAAAAACTCCACTGAGATTGTACCATCGGAGTTGAGACATATTAGAAAGAATGAAAGGGTTTTGATAACTAAACGTTAAGTGTAAAATTATAATGGCATCAGGACTTTATTGGAATAAAATTTTAAAAATAGGATTTCATTGATATAAAACAAAAATGATAGAACTTAATAAATATTTGTAAATTAAAATAATATTTATTGATAGTTTTCCCCTTATTAAAATTTATCTCACAATAAATTTTTCTCTTTGATACAGAGGAAGCAATGAAGAAGCTGGTAGATGTCATCTTAAGCATAAAAGTTGCCAATATATTCTTCGTTATGCCAGTGTCATTTTTACCACCCTCTCACTTTGCATCTGTTGGACGGCAGGATCTGCACACTTACGAGAGTTCCTAGCTAATTGCTGGATGGTCCAAAGAGATCTGAGGCTTCTAGAACTTCATTGAGGTAAGACTTAGCTTAATCTAGGCAGCCAATAGACATGGTCTTCTTGTATTATAAAATTTTATTTTATTTAATTTGTTTATAATCATGTTTATGTCGAATTTGTATGGGGTACACTTTGTGTTTAGAAAATTCGAATCTTGTTTTACTAAACTGTGTCTGTCACCAACACACACAAAAAAAATGTATTGGTTTGTGACACCACCTCTGTCAATTTATGGGACTTCTTTTTTCTTGGGTGCAATTAAGGCCCATTTCAGTTCATACATGCTTAGACAATGGTTCGACCAATTTTCATCGTTATTTACCAGACAACCACTGTTCAATTGCACATGTTCCAGAAAGGTAATCGGGCACACACTAAAACATATTGGTCGCGTCGGCGTGAGATGGTATAGGGTTATACCCATGGAATGCTAAAAAAAAGTTGGACTTTGCTAGAGATTGAGGCGATATCGCGACATAGCAAAACATTGTCTTGGCCGCACGCCCTAGAAGTCTACGATGCAACCATGAGACAGGTAACCTTTTATTTAGCTTCTTACTTCATTCTAACTGATCGTCCCAATTTTATAAATTTTTAGTGAAAGGTATTCTAGTTTGTTGTTCTATAATTATTAGTATGTACTGAAATGAATTTTTGTAAGATCGGTTATTTATAATTTTTCGAGACTGCATTTTTCGATCAATTCTTGATTTGACAATTTTTACAACGAATTTCTTCATCAGTTATCCTATTATCTCTTGCTAGCAAATCTGAGACATCCATGTACTTTAAAATAGGATTTACTTTATTTCCGATAAACCTTGATGTATTAAGTCCTAGGTTTGCCATAATTTTGCCACAAAATTTTGTAGCTTCTCGGCAAAGGGAGGTCATGGATCATGAAGCCACTGAGGATGGAGGTAATCAAAAGCAATATGGATCCAGAAAACTGATAGGCATTAAGGAGTGAGGAATAAGCATATTATAGTTTAACCTCTGATTCTATGCAGGATTTGAAATTTAGTTTAAAGGAGTGTAATATGTATTCAACTCTTAATGTAACTTTTGTGATAAAACTATTGTACTGATATTTGCATTACTAAGGGATGATCTAATCAACTAAAATTGTATCATCTTTGTAGAAAAATTAGCTTATTCGTACTTTGTCTTGAGCTACTTTGCAGTGAGGTTCATATTAAGCTTCCACACCCTTGCACTGACTACATCTCAAACATGATCAAGCAAAATAACCTCAACTAGTGAATTAGCATATGAATAAATTACCACAGCCAAATTTCATCCTCTGTTGCAGATGTTGGTCGTTTATAGTCAATCTTAGAGGTATAGTCCCTCATCTACTCTCCCTTGGGATTTTTTCTTCAGGTACTGGTAGCTTTTAGAACTTTGTCAGTGGCTATTATGCTATTGTGAGCCATGCTTAACGAGGTTAGGCGAACAAAAAAATTAAAGAGAAGTTTATCTCGTGGCTTTTCTTTTATGCAAATCGAGAAAAGCCTACTATCCTTGGCTCATTTTGCACTACTTGCAAATCTTGCTCTCCTTGGTTCGTTTTGAAGGTGACAAAGAAACATGCAATGTCAGTTGTTTTTCCTTACAAAGAGATGGTATGATTAATTCAATTTGTATCAAGTTTTGTTGAAAAAGTAGCTTATGGTCTAATTAACCCAATTCGTAGCCTATTTGTTGAGAAACTAGCTTATCCTTACTTTATCTTGGGCTACTTTGTAATCAGGTTCATGTTAGGCTTCCACACCATTCCCTTGGCTACATCTTGAGCATGGTCAAGCAAAATAACCTCGACTGGTGGAATCAACATATGAATAAATTACCACCTCCACATTTCATTCGCCGTTGCAGATTTTTTTCATTTTATTGTGAATCTTAGAGGTATAGACCCTCACCCACTCTATTTGATTTATTCTTCAGATTTGAGTAGATTTTAGAGCTTGTCATAGGCTATTTGTGATAATATGATGCAGGTAGCACAAATTTGTGCGCTTGTGAGGCATGCTTAAAAAGGTTTGTTGAACAAAAAAGTCAGAGAGAAATTTATGTTGTAGGTTTTCTCCTTTGCGAATTGACAAAATGTTGCTCTACTTGGCTCGTTATGCACTACAAGGCTTCTCGATTACACAAGACATGGAGGTGAAATAGAGACGCATTTTCAACAGTTATTCTATTTCTAGGATAAGTTCTGCCATTTCTACTTCATAAAAGGAACTAGCAGATTAGTGGATCATTACTGTGATGATCATATAACATAATGAAGGTTCCGTTGTCCAAAGTTTCAGATTTTCATGCCAGTAATTGAGCAACTGGAAATTCATAGTGAGACTACATTTTTTTCTATCAGTTCTTAATTTGCCAATTATTATAAGGAATTTCTTCCTCACTTACCATACTATCTCTTGTTAATAATATGAAACATACATGTATTTCAAAACACGTTTTTCTCCCCTTCCCTTAAACCATGACGTATTACTTGTATTTCTAAACTTGCTTTTGCCACAAACTTTTGCAATTTCTCAACAAAGAGAGGTCACAGATGATGAAGTCACTGGGTATAGAGGTAATCAAAAGCACTATGGATTTAGAAAACTGATAAGTATTTAGGAGTAATGAATAAAATTATAGTTTCATCCCTGATTCTATGTAGGATTTGAACTTTTTCAAATTTTGTTTAAAAGAGTATAACAGGTACTTAATTCGTTGGGATACAACTCTTGTATTCATATCTGCATTACTAAGAGATGGTCTAATGAACCCAAATTGTATCATCTTTGTTGAAAAAACTAGCTTCTCCTTACTTTATTTTGAGCTATTTGGTAAACATGTTAATATTAGGCTTCCACACCCTTCCCCTGGCTGCAACTCGAACATGACCAAGCAAAATAACCTCAACTGGTGGAATCAACTTATGAATAAATCACCACCTCCACATTTCTTCCTTTATTGTAGATTTTGTTCATTTTGTAGTCAAGCTTAGAGGTATAGTCCCTCATCTACTCTCAGTTGGGTTTTTTTCTTTAGGTACTGCTAGATTTTAGAACTTGTCATTGGCTCTCTACAATAATATGATGCAAGTTTCATAAATTTCTGTTCTTGTGAACCATGCTTAACGAGGTTAGGCGAAAAAAAACAGTCAAAGAGAAGTTTATGTTGTGGCTTTTCTCTTTTTCAAATTAAGCAAATCTTGTCCTCCTTGGCTCGTTTTACACTACAAGGCTTCTGCATTAGGCAAGGCATGGAGGTAAAAAAGAGACGCAAAGTTTAAGTAGTTTTTCCACTTCAAGGATAAATGCTCCAGCTTGTGCCTTATTAACAGAAATGACAAGTTGTTGGATCATTACCCTGATGCTATAACCCAATAAAAGAATCGATTGCATTGAAATTATGGGACTAGCTGTTTGAATTAACTGGGATTTCTTGGGTGGTTCTAAGTTCTATATCATGAATGTTTTGTGTGGATTATAATGGTTTTGGAAGAAGAAGTACTTTTTGGGAATGTGCAATTTTTGCCACTATATGGGTGATTTGGTCGGAGAGAATGTAAGAATTTTTGAAGATAAGTACAAAGAGATTGATGGTTTGTGGAACAGTATATATTTTTTGGCAGCTTTTTGGGCATTGGTCTGGAAAGATTTTGCCCCAACACCTGTTTTCAGTATTTTGCCAAGCTGGCATGTGAATGAATGGTTATTTTATTTGTAGTGCTTCTGTTGCTGCTTTTAACTCTATGTAGTGCTTTTGTTGGTGTATAGACACATTGGCTGTACTATCATTATGTACTACCTCCTTTTTCATTGACAAAATTGTGTTTTACTATAAAAAAATAACACAATAAAAGGTTCCTCTGTTCAAATTTTTAGATATTCATATTTGGAATTAAACAATTTAGGCCCAACATGGACTCAGATGTTGGACATCGGTCTCGTTGGCATGAAATGTTAGAGGGTTACACGCATGAATGCTAAAAAGAAAAAGTTGGAAATTGATAGAAATTGGGGCGATATTGTGGTGTCACAAAAGAGTGTCATGGCAGCACGAGATGATGACTACGACGAGTTGTCCGAGACCTCTCCGAGCTAACCACAAGCCAAGTAACTTTTATTAAGCTTCCTACTTCATTCTAATTGGTTATCCAACATTCTAAATTTTTAATGAAGCATAGTCTTGTTTCTTACACTGCAATTATTGGTATGTACTAAAATGGATTTTTACATGATGGACATTTCATAAGTTTTTGAGACTATTTTTTTCTATCAGTTACTGATTTGGCAATTGTGACAAGAAATTTCTTCCTCACTTACCTGCCTACTCTTTTTAACAAACCTGTGACACATCATGTATTTTAAAACATTATTGCAGCTTTAGTTTGCTTTATTGTCAATCTAAAAGGTGTAGTCCCTCATCTAGATTTTACAACTTGTCTTTGGCTATTTGTGATAATATGATGTAGGTACCACAAATTTCTGCTCTTGTGAGCCTGGATGTACAAATTAGACATGGAGTTTCAACAGTTCTGCTTCCAAGATGGATTCTCGTGTTTATGCCTCATAAAAAGAACAAGCAGGTTGGTGGATCATTACCTTGATGATATTATTAACTTTGATCAATCAAAGAAAAGTAAGAGGAAAAAAGAAGAGAATATTATTGAGGCACAATTACCCAGAATAAAGTTTAAAGGAAAATTACATATAAGAGATCTTTGTATAGTAAACTAAATTAGGGCAACATAAAAGAAATTAAATGACTAAACTACCCCTAAGTCTAAATATAATAATTATTCTAACACTCTCCCCCAAACTCATGATATGGTAAACATTAAACATCAAGAGTTTGCTAAGAAGAAACAAAAGCGTGCGATGGTTTGAGATTTCGTAAAGAAACGATCAGCAAGTAGCCAATATAATTAAACTATCTCTGCTGTTATGAAGGCCATAGCATGATACTCAGTTTCAGCAGATGATCGAGCCACAATAGTTTGTTTCTTACTTTTTCACAAAATAAGACAATCACCAATGAAGAATCAGAAACCAGTAGTGGACTTGCGATCTATAGAGTCACCAGCCCAGTCCGCATCAGAGTAAGCACGAAGTTCCAGAGATGATCAAATAGCAATAAGAGGTCCAATAGAAAATCAAAGCTCAACAAAAATCATCAACAACAATGCTCATCAAAATAAATCCCAACAAAGGAAAAAAAACAAACAAACCAGAACTAGTCCTAAACTAATAGTAGCCAACGTCAAACAATCCAAAATTCGCCGTAAATCAACTTAACAACTTTGCAAATCAAATACTTACCCAGCAGCTCGATCACAAAATCAGCCCCAAAGGCTCAAATTCACCGATCAAAAGTGAAAATAAAAGTTTTGTGCTTATTCAGTGCGAAACAATGCAAATGAAAATAAAAGTTTCTTGCTTATTCAATGCAAAACAATGCAAATGAAAATAAAAGTTTCCTGCTTAATCAATGCGAAACAATGTAACGTTATGTCAAATAACAAGCCTAAACCAAAAAATCAAAAACCAGCAACATGACAACTCATCAATGCACAAAACTAACCAATCAACAAACTAGTCCAAAAGCCCAAAGCAATAGCAGCAAATGAAGAAGAAACAACCAGACTAATAACCAGAAGAAGCACCAGTAGAAGAGAAAAGGCAACAAGTCAACAGAAATAACAATTCAAACAGCAGATCCCAACGTACCAACTTCACAAACCAGAAACCAACGAAGAAGTAGACACTCAATAGGCCTTAATACAAGCATCTCGAGCCAATAAATCAAACCAGCAATTAAAGAACATCATATTTGAGTGATGGGAAAAACTTGAAATTTCTTATTTTTTAAGTTTTGGAATGGTCTTTTTCCCTCTTTGAGAGTTGATCCAATTCTTTTGATGTCCATATGCTAAGGGTAATGAGAACGGATGCATGAGTTCTGTTACAAGGTATTGACCCTATGAATCTATTCACTGTTTTTTTTCTTGTAATTTTGTGGTAAGTTCTTGAATATAGAAAGAATACAAAAATTAGTCACCACACTAGAAAACTAAAATTTTCATGACCTTCTTGTCTTTTGTCCTTAGCAGTTTGTGATGCATTTGGCTACCAACTTCCCCGAGGCTCGTTCTCAGGAAAACGGGAGTGGATGTCAGTCAATTTTGGCCGCTTACAAACAAAGCAAGCAAACTTGGTCTTGGTGGTAGCCTGGGCAATTTGGTTTAACTACAACAAATTATTTAGTTAAGTTTGCAAAAAATTGTAGTGATTCTTGTCTATGGAGGGAAGAGGCTCATGTTTTTCTACTTCCTACCCTCCAAAATGATGTACTCCTTTTTTTTTTTGGATCATCATTTTCCTATCAAAAAAATAAAAAAGGAATGGTGTCAGTTATTTTAGGTTCAATCAAGGGATTGAATTCGATTCTAGTACTCCTTACCTTGTGAGAAGACTTTGCCTTCTTGAGGTCAAGGGTTCAAGCTCCTTTTCCTCCTCTCCCTCCCCTCCAAAAAAAAAAAAAGAATTCCATTTCAATTCTGTTGAAAAAATAGAAAAATTATAAGAACATACTTTTTATGGAAACTCAAAATTCTCATATTTTTCAGGATGGATTGGAATGTTTGAATTACATTTTAGAATATTTAACCAATGTTTCAAAAATCAAAATTCTAAATATTTTTTCCTATTTTGATTATGTTTTTGAAACATTCATTTATGATCTAACTAAAATTATGTACCAAAATTTTAATCTTGGAATTCAATTTCCACCAAATTGCTTCTCCATCACACGCTTTCTTTTTCAATAGTTCAATAGTTGTAAGAGTGGTCTTCTAATATTTTATCCGACGATTCTTAAATCATGGGAAAATATGTTTGGTAAATGTTTTTGTTTAGTATTTTTTATTTTATTTTTTAATTTTTTTCAAAAAAAAAAAAACAAAAACTGGTATTTATTTTTATTTTTTTTCACCAAAGTTGTTTTGAAAGAATCTCAAAATTTGGAAACAAAAAATTCAACAACCGTAAACCAAAAAGTCGCGTCCTGAGGCTGGGAGTTTTTAACGAGGTCTGCACTTCGATCCGCGTTAACAACAAAAGTTTCTTATTTTTGGTGGAACTCTGTTCGACAAATCTCACTCGTTCGTCTCTCTCTATCTCTGTTTGACCACGAACGAAGCAGCAGCGGCGCAATTGAGGCTCGAAGAAAATAGATCGTCTGTTGCCTGCTACGGGTCTGCTCGCCTTCTTCGGATCTGCTCGCCATCTTCAGATCTCGTCGTTCTCGCTTGCTATTGCTTCAGATCTCCATTCTGAAGGTTATTTTGAAGACCCTATTTACATAGATCTGTATATTTTTAGGTCCGATTCGGTCCTGGGTTTGATTTTCTTTGTTTGAAGTTAATTTCTAGTGGGTTCGATATGAGGTTTGGGGCATAAATTCTGAAAAAATTGTGTGTGTGTGTGTGGTCTGTGTCTGTATGTGAGTGTGTGGTCTGTGTCTGTATGTGAGTGTGTGTTCTGTGTGTGAGTGTGAGAGTGTTTGTTTGTGAGTGTGTTTTTGTGTGTGAGTGTGTATATGTGTGTTCTGTGTGTGAGTGTGTATATGTGTGTGAGTGTGTGGGTCTGAGTGTGTATGTGTGTGGTGTGTGGGTATGTGTTTGCGTGTTTCTGTGGGTTGGGGTGTCATGGGTCGGGTTATTCACGGGTCTCTTTATCCAGCCAGAAAAATAGGCTTGAAGTCTGATAGATCCGATAATTGGCCCGGCCGAGTTTGAGCCTAATATCCTTAAAAAGAGGGTTGGAGTTTACCTCCAAATTCATTATCCGGCCCGAAGCCCGACCCGTCAAGCCCAACCCAACCTACATTTCCTTTGAAAAAAAGTTATACTTTTAGACCATTAAGTTTAAAATTTTAAAATAAGTCTCTTAATATCGAAATTTGAAGTTTTAAAAATTTAGATATTATAAATAATGTATTATTTTTTTTTTCATATATTAAACATATTGTTTTAAATGGTAGAGTAATACAAATGACAAATAAATTAGTAGGTGTCAACCTAGTTGGTATTTATTCATTCTATTAGATGTAGTTCATTATTTTATTTTATGCATTTTAACTTTACTTTTGATTCAAAAATATAACTTACACAAATATTAAGTTACAAATATATTCATTATTTTTAAATAAAGATGTATATAAAAAATCTCGTAAACAGGCCCGCCCAATAGGTTCACGGGTTGGGCTGCGGGTAGTCTACTCTTACTCGAAGCCCAGCTTGGCTTGCCCGATAACTTACTTGAGTAAGGGTTTGAACTTACACTACCCAAACCCCACCCTGCCCTGCTCATTGACACCCCTATCTATGTGAGTGTGAGTGTGAGTGTGAGTGTGAGTGTGTGTTGTGTCTGGGTCTGAGTGTGTCTGTGTAAAAGCCTACGAAACATCTGACAATGAGCCTATGGTCGTACCACAGATTTTGTATTTTGGGATGTATAGTTTTGGATATGTACTTTAGAATTTGTGTTAACTATGTTTAGTTATTATGTCTCATACTTAGTTATAACGTTTTGTGAGAAATGGATTATATGGTATAGATAGGCTACATTTTCAATAACACACACAAACGTGTAAATACACACAAAAATACATCCACACACATTTTTTTTTTGTTACTAACAAACCCTTCTAATCAATAACTATTTTTGTTAAAAATACAACAATTCAAGCTTTTAAGAGAAAAGAGTAACAAATTATAGTTTAATTAAAAAAGTGTTAGAAAATCATTAAAATACTTCATAATTATTGTCATTGTCAGGTGAAGCTTCTAGAAGGATGAAAACTCCCCCACACAATCCTAAAAGACAATCAAAAAATATCAAATTTTGTACCACACAATTATTGCTCACTGACACCCACACCTACACCACCCATGTATAGCAAAACCTAGAAAATACAACTTCACAAATGGATAAAACATAATCAATACCTAATTGTCTATTGAATTTGCAAGGACAAATATAAGAGAAGAATGAAAACCTATAAAATAAAACGAATAGAGCAAACTTAAAAAAAAAAAAACCTACAAAAATAATCTACATAAAAATTGGAAATCCTAGAGGAATGTAGGCTCTGAATTTGAAATTAATACCTAATTTTAGATTCAACATAAAGGCACAAAAGTTCAATAGAAAAGAGGTCAACCTGAGCAATGTCCATAGCAATTATAAGTCTATCTTCAATCGAGCCACCTAAATAAACTCAATCACTAATTATTTTTAGCTTTATTATTGCAATTACAAAGAAGCACTAACATTGACCAAACTCCATCCACGACCGAATTAATGAGAGACATACAGATTATAGACAATAGATATGAAAGAACTAAAACTTGCACTTACACAATTCTGTGTTTAGAGAAATTGAGGTGAGATACACAATGGGCATAATCGTCGATGGACTCTTGGGTCATGGATCAAAAACACATATAAAAAATAAAAATTAATTTTAAGACAGAGAGGGATGAAGTCAAAACAAATTTAGAGACAGAGAGCGATGAAATCAAAGATGTTTGTGGGTATGGTGTGTGAAACTGAGTGTGGTGGTTTTCAATCCCTAACATCAGCAACAGAGAAGAGGGAGGGTATGCAGTCGTGTGTGTGTCGAGGGCAGAAGACATACCGGTGATAGAGGGAGGGTGTTGGGGCCGATGGTCACTCGCTTTAGAGGTGAGGGCGAGAGAGTAGTTTTGGGAGAGAGATGGAGAAAAAAGTGGAGGAGAGAGATAAGGCAAAGAGGAGGAGATAGGGAAAAGGATAATCCGTGTGAGATAAGGTGTAATGGGCGGGAATTTAAAAAATGGACAGTTAATATAAGCCCATAGATCAAATTTAGAAGAATTTAAATCACTTTGAACAGCAAAAAGTAACAATCATTTTTATATATTTGGAGGATTTGAAATCCTTTATACTTTATATAGATGAGACAATATAAATCAAGTTAAAAACAATCACAACATAACAAAATCATCAAAACACAATCAAATTTTCATGAACAAAATAAACTGCAAATATTATATTGACTCCTTATATTGAATGAGGTGTTGGGTAGATGCTGAGCACCAAAGTAAATGGGCTTAAATTAGTTCTCCAAAAAAAAAAAAACTTAACTTCATAAAGGATCTAAGCTTATGTTGAATAGAAATCATACACAAAGGGTAAAGCTTTCGCAATATGGGTCTTCAAAACCTGAAAATGATCATTGCAGACAAATTAGATTAAATAAAACGTTAAAGTTTCATAAACCAATGAACAACTGACAGTAGCCTTGCCTGAAACATCCACACTCAGTTTCTAACAATTTGCACTATGTTACCTCATTCATGGTGAAGACTAACTAATTTGCACAATGTGGGAATGTGTGTGAAAACATACATGTGGATCTTAAACGTGGGAACCAATTGATAAAATTTGAACCTTCATTAGATCTGTGGTAAAGCTAACAGTGTTTGAATCCACTGCCACACACAAACATGTACACATAGAAACCTAATCAGGTGCCAAAATAAAAGAACTGATATGCCTAACCCATATTGCTTGCATCCAAAACCAACCACTAAAAAAAAGGGGTTATTCGCATATAAAAGGAAAGCACATAACTTGTGACACACTCATGGGTCGAACATAATATTTCTGAGTAAAGGGGCAAGTAAATCAAATTGGTCGAGCATATATAGTCAACAACACATATGCCGGCTTTGGCCTCATTTAAGCTTTAGTTTGGCCATATCCTTATGTGCCGACTTTGTTCACAGTGCCACAAACAATGCAGAAACCAACATACCCAATTTGGAGAAAAAAAAAAGATCCCAAGAAGCTCCCCAATGGCCAATATCAAAACCATTAGAAAATTGCTTTTGAGTGAGACACCATAACATAATCAAATTGTTGG